GAAGGACATATAGGCTTCTCCCCCTCTTAGGCAGAGCATTTTCAAATGAAAAGGGGATCGTTGTGCAAGCAAGGGGAGGTTATTTCTCTGGCACTGAGCACTACAAGGAGGGAAGGTAAGGAAGTGGCGGGCTCTTGCTTAGGTCCAGAGAAAGTTGAGAGCAACAGTCAGAGGCGTGAAGATACGGCCTCAGTGTGGCCTGTTCCCCACTGCTCTCCAGAGATCCCAGGCCCAGCCAGGGATGGAGAACAGGGCTGGGCCTGCCGTGCCCATGGGAGTGATGCGAAGCCAGTTAGTCCCATTCCCTACACTCCCCGTGGGAACTGCTATACTTTAGGGACCTGAGGTTGTGATAAGAGGTGGGGCCCAAGGGAGTGAAGAAGAGGGGGGGCTCCTTGGAGGTGCCACCTGAACCTATTATAGCTTTGCTATTGGTTGAATTTTGTTTTTTTGAATTTTTTTCTTTTAGTTGGAGTTTCACTCCTGTCACCCAGGCTGGAGTGCAGTGGCATGCTCACCGCCACCGCAGCCTCGACCTGCTGGGTTTAGGCGATCCTTCCGCCTCAGCCTTCCAAGTAGCTGGAACTACAGATGCGCGCCACCACACCCAGCTAGTTTTTTTGGGGGGGGCGTTGCAATTCATTGTACAGACGAGGTCTCACCAAGTTGCCCAGGCTAGTCTTGGACACCTGGGCTCAGGCAATCCTCTCGCCTCAGCCTCCCAAAGTGCTGGGATTATTTACAGGCTGAGCCACTGCGCCCAGCTGCTATTGGTTGAACTTTGGGGAGGCAACTGATCCCATTCTCAAAATTTGGGGGACGGGCTTCTGTAGGCACTCTGCCACGCCTCATGAGGTCGGGTTCCTTCCCAGAGGCTTTCCCTGATCCCCTGTCTGGGTCAGATGCCCTTCTTCAAGGTCCCCTTGGCTCCGGGGCTTCACCCAGACTGATAAGTCCCAGATCTACACCTCGCCAGCTGCCTGAACTTCTGCTTTCTCCACTCTATTGTGCAAATAAGGACTCCTAGTATGTAGATTTCTGGGGAGATTCCTGAAGACAAAAAAAAAAAAAGAAAAGGCCTGGCTGGATGGATATTCTTTGAGGTGCTGGTTGAACACCTGATCCCTCAGAGGTCTGTGGGGATGAGGGAGAAACCAGAACACCGACTCCAGCCCAGTGCTGGAGACCCCTGCTGCCTCTAGACAGAGCCCCATTGACCCCCGAGTTCATGTCCTCTACCAGTGAGTCATCCTTGTCTGAGCTTCCAGCCCCTCAGGAACCCCCATCCGCATCCTCCCCCTGGCTTTTTCTTCCTTGTCTAGGACCTGTAGCAGCTCCAGACCTACAGCAACTAATCAGCCCCCGTCACAAGGGCCTGCAGCAGGGAACTCTGAGAACCCAGAGACTGCCAGGTCCAGCTGTTCTTAACTCATCTCATTTAATCCTCACAACAGCCCAATCATCAGTGTTACCCTGTTTTACAGGCATGGAAATGACACAGAGAGGGAAAGGAACCTGCCCAAAGTGTCCAAGCAAGTCAAATAGGAGGGAGGGACGGAGGAAAGGAGGAGGGCTTGTCAAAGGTGGAGGGAGAAAGAAGAGGGAATAAAGTGAAGTTAGATGAGGGGCAGATGGGGTTGTAGTTAGGGGCATTTGCAAATGTTCTCTTTCCTCAGTTCTGTCATTCCTTCATTTGCAAAGAATCCAGTTCAGCACAACTAGCTGACTTTTACCAGTCAGTGCCCTGAGGAGTGAGAGGCAGGTTAAGTCCCTTGATGTGGTTAATTTATCGGCCACTCTCCTCCAGGCAGAAAAGGGGTGCTGGATCAAAGAGGACCCTGATAGCCACAACTGGGTGTTGAGAGGAGAGTTTGAGGGAAAAGGAGAGGCGAGGGATGGTACCACAAACTGCTGTCTATTAGGTCATTTTCCCCCTGCAGCCATCTCCTAAACAACTTCATTTGTCATCTACTCTAACTTCCAGGAAAATGGACTTCTCTCTATATATATGTTTTAGAGTTGAGTCTCGCTGGAGTGCAGGTGTGTGATCATAGCTCACTCAAGCTGAACTTCGGGCCTCAAGTGATCCTCCTGCCTCAGCCTCCAGATTAGCTGGGATTATGGGCACGAGACACCACGCTGGGCAAAAATGGTCTTCTTTAAAAGAAGCTGCTGGCTGGGCTTGGTGGCTCAACCTGTGATCCCTGCATTTTGGGAAGCCGAGGTGAGTGGATGGCCTGAGGCTGCGGGTTCGAGACCAGCCCGAGCAACTTGGTGAGACCTCGTCTCTACAATAAATAAAAAATTAGCCAGGCATGGTAGTGCACGCCTGTAGTTCCAGCTACTCAGAAGGCTGAGGCGGAAGGATCGCCGGAGCCCAGCAGGTCGAGGCTGCGGTGGCCGGAAGCAGCCACTGCACTCCAGTCTGGGAGACAGAGTGAGACTCCAACTCAAAAAATATAAATAAATAAATAAATAAATAAATAAATAAAATAATTAGCCAGGCATGGTAGTAGCACGAGCCTGTGGTTCTGGCTACTTGGAAAGCTGAGGCGGAAGGATCGCCGGAGCCCAGCAGGTCGACGCTGGGGTGGCCGTGAGTGTGCCACGGCACTTCAACCTGGGTGACGGAGTGAGACTCCAACAACAAAAAAAAGCTGCCAAGGAGATGGCAAAGAGTTGTTGTATCCAGCTGGCCCTGGTGGGACCTGCTTTGTACTGGACACACCAGCCCCAGCTGGAGGGTAACTACAGGCTCTGGTTGCCAGGGGTGGGAGCAGGGGCATTCTCAGTGCTGGACACCCAGACTGTTTGGAATTTCTCCTTTTTCACTGGGTCTGCTGTGATTCCCATGTGAAGCCAAGTCCTACACTATTGCCTGACCCCTGAAAAGACTAGGGGTCCTCTTTAGAAGTTACTCCATCCAGGACAACCCGGGTTCCCCAGGCACAGGGGGATAGAGCCAGCCGTTAACTTCTCTCACAGCTGAGGGCCATGAACAAAGGAAAGGGGAGAAGCCCAGAGGGTCCTGGTCTTCTAGGTCTCTGCCCTAACTCTGCTTCCAGGCTCCAATTTGGGCCTCTTTCTCAACCTGTCTAAAGCTACTGCCCAGAAACCACCTTAAATTCTGAAGTGCTTACCCCTCCCCTTCCCACTCCCACCTCTGCCCCCACCCCCAGGATTATCATGCCACACAGGCCCCCAGCAAAAAACAGTTACGGGCAGAGTGGAACAGCTGACCCACCCACCTGGGTGACCTGAACCCTCACCTTTCCCAGGGACCCGTCACCAGAGGGGGCCAAGCTCCCAAGACTCTTCCTACAATGGATTCAGTGCCTTTCTTTTTGACCAGTCTCTTCTTGGCTTCAAGCAAGAGGAAGGCATTCTTATCCTAAAAGGAAATACTAATCATTAACAATAGCTTCTCTGAGTTGAAAGCACCTCTGCCAGTGTGTTACATGCATTACCCTTTTTTGTTTGTTTTCTGAGTTGGGGTCTCATTCTGTCACCCCGGCCAGAGTGCAGTGGCACAATCCCAGTTCACCACAGCCTTGATCTCTTGGCTTCAAGTGATCTTCAAGATCTTCCTATCTCAACCTCCCAAATAACAGGGACTACAAGTGTGTGCCACCATGCCCAGCTTAATTTTTTTATTTTTTGTAAAGACACTGTCTCGCTATATTGTCCACGCTGGTCTCGAAATCCTAGGCTCAAGCAGTCCTCGCACCTCGGCCTCCCAGATTGCTGGGATTACAAGTGTGAGCCACCACACCCAGCCAATCCTCTTCATTTCTACAACAACCCAGCAAGGTAAGCAACATTATTCCCATTTTGTAAATGAGGAGATTAAGCCCAAGTGACTTGCCCAAAGAGACCAAGGAGTTGGAATTAAGATTCAGCTCCATCCAAGTCTCATTCCCCCAAAAGTGAGCATGTGTTATAAGTTACCCAGCTCAATGTATTTGCTGATGATCTCATGTTCCTTTTCTCTGATTTTTGCATCCTTCTCCAACCTTCCCAACACTGCACAAATGATTTCATTCACAGGTCTCTATAGCCTACCATGAAGATCAACTTTCCAGTACTGCTGGACTCAAACTA